CCCCTCTTTTCACTCCATCACTGTTTGCCGAAGGGTGCTTTTACACTACATTTTTTAAACTGCAACATTAACACCCCCCCCTTTCAGAGTGCAGGCACTGTACTTCCCATCCCCGGGGGACTCAAGCCCGGGCCTGCCGGTTTCCCTGAACCCCTTCTTTAAAATGTTACTTTGCTCCATAAAACAGCACGTAAAGTTTTAAAAAAAAAACCATTTGTTCCTTTCATTTCCTATAAAACCCCCGCTACGCTGCCTGCGGGGAACCCCCAAGCCCCTGAAAAACAAAACCCCCTTTTTAACCCCCTCCCTCCCCCCCTTTCCCTAGGCCGACCCCTACCCCCCCTTCCCCTTCCACTACGGGATGTTACACTCTTGGTCATTCTGTTTCGCTCCATTCCTCTACTTTGTCCAAACCACCTCAAAAAACCCTTTTCCCTCACCCCTTTTGGGAAACATTTTTTGGTAACCCCGACCTCCTCCTAACCCCAAAACTAGAATTCTCTGCTTTATATTCACCCCAAATTTTTTTCCCCTCACCCGGGACATCTCCACTGCCCCCCACCCTTCTCCTCGCTGCAACTTTCATACCACGTTTTCACACCCATATAAGGGGTTTGGGAAAAAAACTATACTCTCTTTCTTTCCCCTTTTTTCCCTAAAAGGGGACAAAGTTTTTTGGGTTCCCCACGACCCCAAAGTGCACCACTCACTCTTTTTCCCTCATCAATTCTAGATTCCCCTCACTTTATAGCCCCCATCTGCTGACCGTCCACTCCCAAATATTAAATTTCGTTCACCTCCTCCAACTCTCCCCCTCCAATTTTGATATTCAATTTTCTTCACCTAACCCTTTTTGTTATCCTCAAAACCCTTATTTTCCCCTGTTTTCCCACCTTTAATTTTCTTCTTTTCCCACACCCTCCCAAATTCTTCCCCAATCTCTGCAATTCTCTTCAGAATCTCCCAAGGCACAGTGTCATCAGCAAAGAGCAGCTGTGAAAAACTCCCCCCTTTGTGTGTGATTCTTTATTTTTTTAACTCCACGCCTTTCCCAAAAGCCCCTCGCATTTACTTCTTTACAACCCCATCTATAAATATTTTTTAAAAAACCAGGGGTGACACACACTTCCTTGTCAAAGGCCTATTTTTTACGGGGAAAAAATTTTCCCCTTTTTCCCTTAAAATACTCTAACTTGGGGCCTCACTTTTCCTCGTAAAAAAAAACTCTTCACTGCTTTCTTTTAACCTACCCCCCTACCCCTTTACACTTGCAAATCTGCCATTTCCCCCCCCTATCCCCCGGCCCATACCCCTTTTTCCAAATCCATAAATCCCCAAAAAGACCTCTTTAGCCTATCTAAATACGGGTTACTTATATGTTTCACTGAAAACCCTGGTCCACACACCCCCTCCCTTTTCCCTAAAGCCCCCTTGTTCATCTGCTTTCCTATTCTCCGTTTCTCTTAATTCTTTAAATTATTAACTCTACCATACACTTTCCCGGGTTTCACTAAACAACTTACCCCATAAAATTTTTTGCACTCTCTTTTATCCCCTTTCCCTTTTTTATAAAAAAGGAACTTTTGAAAGCTCTCTGCCAATCCCTAGGTCCTTACCTTTTCCCAAATACATTTATTAAAAAAATTGCCCCAAACCACTCCAAAACTTACCCCCACCTGCTTTTAAACATTTCAAATCTTTATCCCATAAAACCCGGTTTCCCTTCCCCCCTTTCTTTTTTCCTACTGCCTCACGAACTTCCCCCCACTCACAACTGGCCTTCCTAAACCCCCTACAAGATGTTTTTCCCCCTTCCCCTATACACAAAAATCACAGCTTCCCTTTTTTCATAAAAAATTTAAAATTTCCTAAAAAATTTTTCCCTTCCCAATTTTCCCCAATACCTCTAACTCTCCATTTAATAACCCCCTCTCCTTTTTTTTAACTGAAAAAATCCATTTTTTTCTCTAGGTTTTCTTAACTTGTTAATCTCACCCCAAAAAATTTTTTTCTTTTTTTTCCCAAAAAAAATTTGTTGTAACATTTTCACCCACTCTTCATTTGCTTTTCTTTTTACATTGTTTCCCACCACTCTCTTAACTTCTCTCTTTTTTTTTCCCCATAAAACTCTTCCCCCCTTTCCCTTTATTGAAAAAATTTAAAGGGTTTAAAACGGGAAAAAATTTAGGTAGCAGATGAACAAGGGGGCTTTAGGAAAGGTTAGGGGGTTTGTGTGGGCCCAGGGGGTTTACAGTAAAAAACATAAGTGAACAGTATTTAGAAAAGGGGCAAAAGAGGTCTTTGTGGCATTTTTTGGTTTTGGGAAAAAAGGCGTTTTGACGGGGTGGTTTTAAGGGGGGCCAAAAATGGCGATGTTGGGGGTTGTATGGTGTAGGGGTTGGTTCGGGGAAAGCAGGTAAAGATTTTTTATGAGGTTAGTGAGGCTCAAGAAGAGTTGTAGGAAAGGGGGAAAATTTTTTCCCCAGTAAAAGAAAGGCCCCTTAGACAAGGATGTGTGATGTCATGGGGTTTTTGTTTAATATATTTTAGAGGGGGTTTGTAAAAAGAAGAAATGCGAGGGTTTGGGCCCAAAAAGTGTGGATTTTAAAAGATAAAAAAAATTCAACAAAGTGGGAGTTGTCACGTTGTTTTTGTGATGCCACTGGGGCTTTTGGGAAAAATTCTGAAGAGAATTTTGGGGTTTTGGTGGATAAAATTTTTGGTTTAGGGTGGGGCAAAAGAAAAAAAATTAAAAGTAAATTACGGGAAAAGGTAAGGTTATGAGGATAACAAAAAATTGGGTTTAAATGAAAGATTGGATATCAGATTGGGGGAGGAGTTGGAGGGGTGAATGTATTCGATTTTTGGGGGTGGGGAAGGTGTCAGCGGATGGGCTATGAAAGATGAGGTAAATCTTTAAAATTTGGGTTGGGGGAAAAAGGGTTTGAGGGGTGTCCCATTTTAGGGTCTTTTGGGAGACAAAGAACTTTGTCCTTGGAGGCAAAGAGGGGAATGTATGGGGATTTATATTTTTAAACCAACGCCCCTTTTATGGGTGTAAAGCATGGGTTGATAAATTTGTTGCAGCGAGGGGGGAAGGTGGGGGCGTGGAGATGTCATGTCTGAGGGAATTTTGTGGTGTGAATATATGCAGAAAATTTCTTTAGTTTTGGAAGTTGGGGGAGGAGGTGCGGGATTCCCAAAAAACTGTTGTCCGAGGGCTGAGGAAGGGTTGTTGAGGGGGTTTTCGGAATGTAGAGAGAATGGAGGGGAAACAAAAATGACTTAAAGAGTGAAATCGTCTGTAGGGGAAAGGGGAAGGGGG